AAAAAAAAAAAAAAAAAAAAAAAAAAAATGTGCTTGATCCTAAAAAAAAAACCTTGAGAAACTCGGATGGCAGAGATTAAAGGGCCAAACGTGCTCTGGAACGGGATGCAGCAAGTCCCTTTCCCGGCCCAGAGGAGATGAATGTCCAAAACGGTGTTTGTCACGTTAGCCTTGAATTTCTTAACCAGGGCATTCTTTGATCCTTCAGATTCTTTTGCTATATTGAAATCTTGAAGAACTCTTTCACCCTTGATGAGATTCAACATAAAGTAATCAAGTAAAATTTGGAAAATGCTTGATTCATTTTTTGCAAAGAAGCCTTCTAAAAGAAGTTGCTATGAGACAAATATGTACTTCAAAGGGGTATTCATAACAAAAGGGTTTGGTAAATAATTTTCATTTGTAATTTCAATGTTAAAGAGAAATCGAAGAAGCCATACAGGGATTTTCTCGGGCCTGTTCATATGGTACCTAAGTAGACTAAGAAATTCTTGTTCTTAGATCCTTTATTCTGAATTTGAATTCACAATTTGAAATCATTGGGACCAAATCCATTGAAAAGATTCGAAATCAACAAAAGAAAGGAAAGTAGACCTTTTCTTTGGATAGACACGAAAACTCTATATACCTGAATATAGACATCAAATAATCGCCTGCCTAGACCTTTCCAAGAAGCAGAACCCGAATCAGGCATCTGTATCTCAGCAAAATGAAGTTCAACTCGGTACACTCCGTTCTTCAGCCCAAGCCCGAAGTACCTCAAGGAGGGTGCTATCCGAGCCGTCTGATATAGTTCAGAATCCAATGTGTTGGTTATTTGAGATAGTGTCTTGGCTATGTACTGGGGCCCGTTTGGATTGGAAATGTATATCCCGGCACTGCTAACTGCAAACTGGCCATCGGGATTCAAATACAACGAGGCTGCTCCTAAAGTTTCAGAATCGGCCTCGAACGTGGTGCCGTCTGTGGATATCTTTTTTTGTCCACCACAGTTGACAGCAAATGAAGCTACCAGGAGAGGATGGATGGTTTCAAATTTTTCATTTTGTGTAAAAATTATGGATGTCCTTCGTTTGAAGGTACAACATTTATTGTTAAGTAATTTCATAAATCTACTTACTGGAGAGGTTTTTGATATTGCACTTGCTATTTCCTGTAATGCAACGCAACTCAGTGGCTCCTTTCCTACATCAATTATGAAAGTAGTAAGTAGGTTGGATTACAGTACAATTACTTTATTATTTGTACTGCTACTATTAAAATGGTTAAAGGTAAAGTTATCCTATTATTAAAAAAACAACACTTCCAGCAGTGATTAACATGTTTTCACAAACACCACAAATAGGAATGTGAATAATTTGAGGTTACTCACTTGTTATTCAAATTGGGATTATCAATTGAAGTCCCAACCACATTTCTGCAAGATGAAAAATATTAAATTGCAAGATGTTAAATAATATCTCTACCATATTAACTACTTTGTCTGAAAATTGGTATCGACTTACATTGACATGCCTTTCCTCTCTCGCGGGACCTTGCCAGTGAGAGGATTAAACGAGACGTCTCTGCATAAGTTTGAAATTTGTAAAAGCACATAAATCAAGCGGAAGGCTTAAGCACGTGAAAACCACATGTATAAGGTTGAGGCTTACAAGGCAATAAGATCTGACAATTCTGAACCTAAAATTTCAGAAGGTAAATCCCCACTAAGGTTATTACTTCCCAAATACCTGAAAAGCATGCCAAAAATCCCAAGTGGATTAACAAAGTGTCTGGATGCCATGTGAACCAGAATATGAATTAATGAGTAATTTTGCTCACTGATTAAGTATATTGCCAAATGGAAGCAGCAAATATATGAGATTTATTATATTGTTATTATACACACACAGAGGTCATGGCTTACTTACATGTATTGTAGTGACGAGAAGTTCTTAAAAGAGGCTGGAATTTGACCTGTTAGCTTGTTGAAACTCAAATCCCTGTAACGATAAAAATATTTAAGTTGAAAATAAATTTCTGAAAAGTGGTGTGCATTAACCTCTAATAAAGAAACTTACAAGAACTTCAGGTTGGGGAAAGAGCTTATTTTCTCTGGAATTTGGCCATTAGCGCGACAATTTCGTAATGATCTGTAATTGGAAGTAAAATCACAATAATAAAAAGAAGAAATTATAACAAATAATGTAATGTAGCAGGCAAAGATATATGATGCTCAAAATGAGTTGTTTAATCATTCCAATGCAAGGACTTACAAAGTGGAGAGTCTTGTCATGTTCTCCAAGAAATTAAGAGAACTATCACCACCACTAAGATCGCCAATTCTCCTAAGATGATACAAAAAAAAAGGCAGGAAAAGTGCAATGCACTAATGAGATATTCAAAGTTGTTAATGATTCTAGGAAATGAATAAATCCTTATTCCTTACAAGTCCTGCAGCTTGGTCAGGGCACCAAAGCTTCTTGGAATTGGTCCTTCGAGGTTCGTTCCTTCCAGTCTCCTATTATCAAGATATACTTTAATGAAAAAAGGAGAAAAAAGAGAGAGAGAGAGAGAGGGGAAGACTAGAGATTCCAGTAAATTAACAATCTTGAGAGGGGAATTTCAGATAGGGTATGCATACAGGTCTTTCAGATTAGTGAAACTTCCCAAAAATTCTGGAATTTTTCCGGTGAAACCATTATCAGATGCCCACCTGAAACAGTAAAAAACTATCAAGTCAATTTAACTGAACCAATATTATCGCAAGCATACAGAAATAACAATTTTTGCAAGGAAGGCATAGAGATATACAGAGTTTGGAGTGATTTCAAATTTGAAAGTTCTTCTGGAATTGGTCCACTCACTCCACTGCTATCAATGTACCTGAAAGTTTCTAAAATGATCAATATAATATGACATAAATGGGGCAGGATATGTCATCTTCCCAAGTAAAAGCACTCTTTTGGAATCCTAATCAGCCTATAAGTCCCTCGATGTCGAAGGTTTATTTAAAAACACAAGCATCAGTTAAGGAAAGTGTGTACAATACTAACAGCTGCTGTAAGGAGGCCAAATTTCCGAGTTCAGGAGGCAAGATTCCTTCCAAATTGTTTGAGCTGAAACTTCTGTAACACCATTAAATGCATTACTAAGATTGAAAACTATATAGATAAGAAGTTGGTCATATCTATTAGAATATACTCAGGCTTACAAGACGATCAACTTGGTGAGATTACCAAGCTCTGCAGGCACTGGACCTGTGAAATTGTTAATGCCAAAAGCCCTGTATTTACAATGTAAATGAACGCACTTACTCAAAAAAAAAAAAAGGAAAATAAAAGGCAAACATGATTCTAACGTTAAGCTTGGGGTCTGAATTGTACTCACAGATATTGCATGTTTGATAGCTGCCCTAAGGCCGACGGAATGGACCCGTTCAACATGTTCTGATTCAAATCCCTTCGTTGTAAAATTAAACAATCAATTAAACCAATTGGCCCAACAAAGAATGAACAAATGCTCAAAGAACTGCAATCACTTACAAATCCATCAATTCTGTGAGCAGGAACAGTTCTTGAGGAATCTCACCAGAGATATCTAAAGCATAGATTTTCCTGTATTACCACTATTAGTATCATCTTTTCCTTCCATAAAAAGTAGCACATTAGAAATTGTAGAGTGTAACTCACAAGCGTGTTATGTGGCAGACACTGTCAGAACAATCACAAGCAATTCTTGGATTAGCAGACTCAGGAGCCCAAGTGGCATTTTTATTGCAGGGGTCACCAGTTAAATTCAGCTTACTCCTCAGATTCCAATGGTCAATTATCTTGTTGATAGCATCCACTGATTATTACCCAAAAAAANNNNCACTGATTATTACCAACAAAAAAAAAAAAACAACGACAACAATTCAGGTAAAGAATATCAGCCCAACTATTTCTTAACAAGATACATGCATAAAAAAGAAAACGGCATTTCATCGAACACCTTCACGGGGTTCAGTTTTCGGCTGCCCAGCAACAATTTCAACCGCCCAGAGCGCAAAGAAACAGAAGCTCAGAAACCCCATTTTCCAAATAAAAAGTCGCACTCACTCTCGCATCCCAAGAATGATGAAATTCTTGGGCAGCTATAAACTCGGCGATACTTGGACTTTCTTGATAAAAAACAGTAGCATATAGCCATAGCAATCGAATTTCTCGATTTCCTTTTGCCCTGAAAGTCCACCTGAACCCGACAACACATGGAGCAAATAGATTTACTTTACATGTTGCGACGGCACAAGCTGCCAAATTAACTTTTTTTTTTTTTTACTCTGACCTTCTGTTGGATGATGGCGTTAGAATCTTGGCGTATCTTGCCGATATTTGGCCATGAAAACATGAGATCCCTGTTCCCGGGCTTCGAGGTCAAAAAAAACGCGTTGATATTCAAATCACACTTGATGAGAACACGTCCGAATTGCGAGAATCTAAGCTTGAAAATAGGGTGGATTTGCAGGGAAAATATTTTTAATAAGAAAATCTACATGAAAATCACGAAAACGAGTATGGCATGGAAAATCAGTTCATTTAAAAATCAAGAAATGTGGACTTATTGAGTTTAGTTGGAAAAAAATCAATTCTTTTGACTGTTGAATTAAAATCGTCCTGAAAAAGATAAAAAATGTATACATTCATAAAGCGTGTGAGAGGAAAAAAAAAATAGATGTCATTACGTGGGTCTTTTTCCACTAAATTAGACAGTGCCAAAACACGGCCCGGCCCGGCTTGACGGGCCAACCGACTAAGAATCATGAATCTTGAGCCGGCATAGACCTAAGTCGTACCAGGTCTATGGACGGGCTTTGGGCCCGTCCAAATAAAAATAGAAAAAGGAAAAATAAAAAGGTGAACGACGACGTGAATAATTTCGGTGAACGACGACGTGAATCAACTTTCTATGTTTTTATTTTCTTTGTCTCTTCTCCACTTAATATCCCTCCGTCAACCCTTCTCCTTCTCCCGGCCTGCTTACTTTTTTTATTTTCTTGCAAGTTCAACTTTTCGATGAACGACGACGTGAATAATTTCGCTCGACAAAAAACGGTACGTACCCCGGCAAAGGGCCGACGGCCCTTTTCAGCAAATTTCATCTTTCTCCAAAAATATTTGGTCATTCTTCAGTAAAAGCAAAAAGGGTGGTCATTGTAAGCTATGTATTTATTGAGGACTGAGGAGTCCGAAACTGGTCTTTTATTAAATATTTTTTTTCCTCTAAAATCTCGTTCTTCATATTTTTTTAAGGATTATTGTTGTTTATATTTTATAACAAATAAGGTGACAATAATCTCTTTGTCGTTGCTCATATATATCTACCACCAACCATTTACGTTAGGTAATGTTTTTCCTCATAGATGATCATTGTACCACTGATGCATGATTATGATACATCTGTTTGTGTAGTTTAGTACGTCTATCATCATATCTAATACTAGCTTGTGCTGAAAACTTTGAATTTTTATTTTATCCAATTCATTTGAAATTTAATATTATTTTTAGATACAATGAAAGAATCACAAACTGAGTTATTAGTGAGTTGTTCTTACGATAATGAATTGTATGTTTTCTCTATACACGTCGGATTGAGTCTTTAAATGCACACCCTTATTTGTAGGAGGTGGTCGGGTGTCAAGTCTCAATCCTTCATGCTATGAAAGAATATGGATCATGAAGTTCAACACATCTCGATGAACAAGTAATATTGCTTCATATAATAGTAATGAAATCATTATACAAATATGGTATAGTTGTATGATAATCTATTTCATTATTGTTTTAACTAGTTTCATTATTTATAAATCTTTATATTATTTTATCATGAACGCAGAGAAATCATACCATATGGTGATTTTTTGGGGAGAGAATCACAGTTGTTATTGCAAGATAATTCAATTGATTCTTAGAGATACTGCATTAAAAGAGACAGACAAACTTTTAATGACATAAATGAATTTCGAAGGCATGTTAAAAACTATGTAATTGCTAATAAGCGCTTCTTTAAGTATCAAAAAAATAATAGCCAGAAGATCATTGTTTGTTGTAGCAATGAGGATTGTCAACGGAGAATATATGCATTGATATACAAAGCATATCAGTTGTTTGTCATTCGTAAGTGCAATATAGTTCATACTTGTAGAGTGTCCAATCTTCACACACGGGGGAATCCGAGAGCAGACTCTACTTGAGCCTCTAATATAATAGGGACATATTGAGAGATGAACCAGGCTATAGGCCTTGCACGATATTAAAAGAGATCCACAGTGACTATGATTTGGAGATGAAGTATAAAAAGACATGGATGGGGAAGAAAATTGTCATGCATGATATTCATCCCGCAGACAAGGACTCTTATGACAGGTTAGGATGGTATTGTAATGCAGTGCGTGAGAGAAGTTCGGGAAGCATAGTCGATTGTGAGATTGACCCTCTCGAGAAAAAGTTTCTCTAACTTTTCATTTGTTTTCATGTATGCCTTGTTGGCTTTTTATCTGGTTGTCGACTCTAAGCATTTTTAGAACATTAAAAATAAATATAAAGGTTGTATTCTTAGTGTTGTGAATATGGATGTCAATGCTGATTTGTAAAATATAGTATATGTCATGGTTGATGATGAAACCGACGATAATTGGGATTGGTTTTGCCTTAAGCTAAAGAATATTTTTCATTCCTCAGGTTTACCATCAGAAGGTTCACATTTTTTACATAGTGGACTACTAAAATCCATCCTCATTGCTTTTCTCGGTAGCCATCATGCTTATTGTTTGAGACACTTAGTCGATAACCTTAAGAAGTAGGTAAGGAAGTTAATTATTCTGTTATATTTATATTAGAGTCATAAATAATTCTCTTGGCAGTCATCATGATTTTTTTATTTTTTTTGTAGGTTTTGATAAGCTATCCATTTTATAATAAAAAACATTGGTCCTCGGTTCATGTGAAAGTTGTGTATGCCCTAGAAGGCAAAAGTTTGATCTGCATATAAATAGTATAATGATTGTTATGCCTCTTGCTAGAGACTTTATTATGGAGTCATCCACAATGTTGGACAAATTCTCTTTCTGGAGAGGCCGATCAACAATAATCAAGCTTAATGTTGGTATGACAATAATCGATTCACCTTTGATCCAACAATTGACTTATCATTGTCCTTTCAACTGGCCTACTAAATCCCCGCCATTAATATTGACCCCAATCCAACAGCACCCCACGACTAGTCTATTCAACTTTATCCTTTTCAATAGTGATTGTTGATTTTAACCTGAATCCAACGGTCCTACTCGAACTGCCTTTCCAACTTGCTCGCCAAATCTCGATCGTTGATGTCGATCGCGATCCAACGGCTAGGGTCGATCTACCCACCTGCTTCTCCGCCTATAAATAACCCAAAAGACTGGAATTTTTTGGAATTCCACCTTTGCAGAATCTCATTTAGCGATATTTACTCTCTCTCTCTCTCTCTCTCTCTCTCTCTCTCTCTCTCTCTCTCTCTCTCTGCAATCAAACTCTCTTAAGCTTACCCTCGATCTCCTGTGCTCCACCGTAATTCACCGATTTTTAGACTAACCATCTCAACAATGAGTATGTTCCTCGTTCTCTATTTTTGTCTTTGTTTTTGTATACTTAATATTTTTTTTCTTTTTGGTTCTTCCTCGAATCAGCGGCCGTGAAACTCTTCCTCCTCTTCCTCTTCCTCTTCTTGTCCGCAAAAAAACCTAAAATTTTCCTTTTTGATTTTCCCTTTTCTTCCAAATTAAGGCACTTTCAGCAAAACCGATCGATTTTCAACAAATATATGACTCCTACGTCTTCATTTTCGACCCCATCGGCCTGAATTTTCTGCTTCTCTGACCGCTTGGGATATGCTTGAAATAGCCTTGGATAGTTTTTAAGAGTATGCTCTTGGTTGTGAAAGTGTACCATTTTTGTGGTAAAATAGGTCTCCGAACCGGGTTTTGTTTTCCCTTGAACTGATTAAATTCATAACAGTTGAACCTTTTGCATCAAACTGATTTCTTGCCTAAGAAATAAAGCATTGTGTTTAGGGATCTTTATGAAACTAATCAGGATACATGTGATTAGTAATGCTTCCCTATTCACGGTGGACACATGTTAATATGGTCACCCCTTATATGACATGCGCATATTGGTGATGTTAATATGTTAAAAAAGTACATCATCAATGTGTGCATACCACATAAACGTTAGGCATATTAACATATGCCCACCGTGAATAGGGAGCATTACCGTACATCTGATATTAAAAAGTCCATAAATTCTGAAGTCTGATTCAATCATTATTAATAGTCACTTTGCAGGTACTAATGTCTTTAAATTTACATTGTCATCTTAGTTGTGATTCTTTTGTTACTGATATTAATTTCCCCATCCTGAAGTAGGGGTGAGCATCGGTGCGGTTCGGCAAAAAATCGGTGCGAACCGAATCGCACCGCAAAAAACCGAAAACCAAAATTTTGGAATTTCTTAACCGAACCGCTGTTCGCACCGCACGAGAAGGAAAAACCGAACCAAATCAAACCGAAATTTTCGGTTCAGTTCGATGCGGTTTATCGGTTAACCGCAATAAAAAAAGAGTAAATACAAACTAAAAATCAAACCATACAAATTAAACCAATCTACTAGATTTAAGCATCCCATTACAAAACAAAACAACAGCAGTTACACAATCCACATTAAACATATATTCAATATTGGAGCAAAATTTGAGTTCAAAGCCTCAAAACCATCAACAAACCACTCAAAACAATTACATCCATTTACATAACAATACGTCAATAACATATTGCCCAGTGAAACAGAAAAGCCCCAAAATTTATTGAAAATCCAAAATTAGGGTTGGGGCCAGATTGAAGAAAGAGGACGAAATGAGATAAAGAAAAAAGAAGACTGAGAGAGTAGGAGATGACAGAGGAAGCTGGTGGAATGTCGAGCGAGCGTCGGACGGTGAGCAGCCAGCGGGCTCAGCGTTTGATGGTGAGAGTGAACGAGCGTCGGACGGCCGGAGTGAGAGCGAGCGGCTGACGGGCTGAAGCACGCGAGATCGAAAGGAAATTGGACGGCTGCGGGTTGAGACTTGAGAGTGAAAAAACTAGGGTTGCGGGCTTTTCACAGGTGAGACGAGAGAGGTACTGAGAATTGAAAGATTTAAGAACAGGTAATAGAGAATATTTAATTTAATGTAATATACTAATATTGTTAATTGGAATTTAAGAACATAAATGAAAAGCGTGTTCACTGTATGTAAATAAAAAAAAAAAAAAAATTGACTATATATGATTTTCGGTGCGGTTCGGTTAAAACCGCACCCTTCGGACACAAAACCGA